AAAAAAAATATTTTGCCAATGACTTTTGGGGAATTGGGCTCTACCCAAGCAGAGAGCTAAAGGAAAGAGAGCGATTCTTCTCTGCTGGTCAGTGTCCTAGGATGAACATGAAAGAAACTGATTCAGAAGTATAAAGTGGTAACCAGCAGCAGGGTTTGTAAAAACTTGCACATCAAAAGAAACAATAAAAATGATAGTATTACAAGTGTTCTTAATAACTGGAAACATTTTTTCATTCTGATATTCAGTTCAAAAGACAGCTCTGCCACATAGCCAGTTTTAATTACAATCACACACACTCATTTAGACTTAACTACTGAATTACTTTCAAGTACAAGAAGGAACTCAAAATAGAAATGACTTGTGTTATAACTATTGTTATTTCCTCACACAGCTTCAGGAAAAACAGGCTTTATATACACTGTAGTAAGTACAGAATGTACAGAAGACAGTTATATATACAAAAGTGCATTAATACATTTAGCAGGAATACAGGAAAAATAAATCCTGGTTAACAACCGGATACATTACAGTATTTAAGACTACTTGAAGATTCTCCAAACCAGTCAACTTCCTACTTGCTTTGGTTATGATATTGATGCTACATAACTAATCTTTGAAACTAAAAACAAAGACAAAAAAAAAACCCTCAAACAATTTGAAATACTTAACCATCTGTGAAATGTCTTAGATGGGGTTGATCATTAATATCCTTGACAAAGAGTTCTATTAGATTCCCAACACAAAGATTTAGAATGTCTAATATTTATATCTAAATTAGGAAATATCAAATAGGAAATTAAATGAATCTACTTCAGGAACAGAGATTATCTGCTCCATTCTTAAACGCCTCAGCTAGATAAGCTAACTCCAAAGTTTCATTTTACAATAAGTCACCTACTGTTAAGAGCAAGTAGCTCCACAAAACAAGTCATGGCTTCAGGCCAATGTTCCTTAGAACAATCCAGAATAGTAAGTATTAACTTGTCATTTATACATATTACTTGTACAACTACCTTTACATAGTCAAAATGTATATGCATAATTAAGCAATTCACCTTTTTTTTTTTTACCTCCATCCCTCACCACAAAAAAGAACACAGATTTCCACAGGTTCCATTAACCACAAAAACGCAACAATAAACTTGACAATAAAGAAAAAGTTCTACAAATTCAGCAAAGACCAAATCAGACCAAACTGGTTTTTCTGAGTTCCTCATGAATTTCAAATTAAAATGTAATTCACCATTATTTGATCTCGGTTAAGACACTAATAACATTATTTAAAAAAAATAATAATTGGAAAGGGAGCTGAAAACAATTTTAATATTTTTAAAATGAGAATACAATTTTAGTGAGTCAACTCAGATCTTTAGCTATACCATGCAACTTCCTTATTCTTAATACCCAATTAGAAGAATTTTCAGAGTTCTTTCTAAGCCTTTTGGAATAAGTAAATTATTTTCCAAAGAAATAATGACAGGTAGCAGATAGACATGAACAGTAGGAACATTAAGGGGATAATTCTATAGATGGGCCTACTGTGTTGGCCTACCCACATGCTTTCTTTTAAAAAGCAATTTACCTAAGGCCACTCAGGCCCTGCCCTGGCTTAAGGCAATAGGATGAGTTGCAACCTGTTATCTGTAGAGTTATTCTCAGGCATAAGGAACTTAAGATCCCTCTCTGCCTAAAAGAACACAAAGTACCCTGAAGTGAAGACTTTCAAAACCCTTATATACACCAAAAGTTCTACTGAGGAAGACGGGATAATTAAAAGCAAAGCCCACCCACCATGAAATCTGTTTAAATTTTAAAAAAATCAAGTTCCAATTAGAACTGGTTAGGTGGACCAAAGTGACCAGAGTTGCCTTCAGATCTTTAGCATTACATGGTAAAATTCCCCCCACGGGCTCTGCTTGGGTACCTGAGGCTAAGATACTATGCAGTAGGGACTAAAAATCTGATGCAAAACTATTATCAGTCAAAAAATTGAGACCCCCCCCCACCCCCGCATCTTCCTCCCTCTTGAGAGTGCTTTTTTCCTTCTAATAAAACTGCTAGACTTTACTGCTTTTCATGCCTTGCCTGGAATTTTCTCCTGCAAGAACTCAAGATCTGAGAAACACAACATGATCCCAGACCATGGCTGGTAACATTAAGACTTAATTTCTAAGGAGTATGTTTCAGATACTATGCTTAGAGGTGTTTAGCGCAAAGTGTCTCCCAGATGGTTCTTAGCCACTTAACCTAATTTCAGTTTTAAGAAAAATTTACTTTATCAGACTGAAAACTAATCTGAAGTTACCACAGTACATATGTATACAAATTTATTTACTAATAGTCCTTTTCATGATTAAATATACTTGTAATTTAGACATGCTGAATATCACTGAACTCATTGTCAACAAAATTATTTAATGTAACTAGGAATTTTACTATCAACTGTCCCCAAATAAAAATGGACAGAAGTATTCCCCCTCAATGCCAAATAAGATAGAAGTGCTAAAAGATTAAAGGAAAGTATTATGTTTTTGGATATGAGTTATCGTTCAATAAGCTCATGTGATAGACAGAAATGTTAAGAGGTGAAATGATTAGACTGATAGCTATAACCTAATCAGTGGATTAATCCATTTGATAGTTTGATAATTTGAATGGATTATTGGGTGGTAACTGGCATGACTGGAGGAAGTAGGTCACTGAAGGGCATGCCCTTAAGGAATCATATTTTGTCCCTGGCACTTATTCTCTGTGAGTTGAGTAGTTTTTCTTCACCCTGCCCTGCTAGGATGTTCTGCCTCACCTCCATCCGGCTCAGAGTGATATAGCCAGCTGTCGGTGGACTGAGCCTCTGAAACTGTGGGCCCAAATTAAACCTTTTTCTCCTCCAAGTTGTTCTTGTCGGGCCTTTTAGTCACAGTGATGAAAAGCTGACTAACACAGAAAGGGAAGGTAGTATTCCAATTATGACACAAATGAATTCAAAGAATCCTTAAAGTTAACAAGAGAATCAGCTTGCTATATACTCTTGGCTCTTGGAATACTTTTACCTATACCTTGAAAATTTTCTTTCCAAATAACTGTATCTGGTTTTAAAAGTATACTGGCCTATGACTTTTCTCAGGGGGAAAAAAAAGAATACATTAAGTCATACTCCAGATAACTTTCAAGATTCTTCAGTGATCTAGCTGGGTAGAAAATAAAGTTACACAAATGAGGTTTAAGATCTGAAGGATTTTGTTTTTGTTTTACACTCTATCACTACAGATTGGTTCAATTCAAAGGTTTTACTTACTGATATCCAAACACCATGGGTATTATACAAAATGAATTATCACATGATTATTTTTTGAGTTTGGAGAAGCCTGATACTGACAAAAAGTACAGAGTTCACCACCTTTTAAGGCACATGAGGCTAAAAGACTAAGCCATGAACAAAAAGTCTACCAGAGAACCCAAAACAAACAAGACTTCTATATTGTTTATATACTAACATTTTTGGCTTAAATATGAAGATATTTGACAAATTTTACAATTTTTAAAGCTCATCAGAATCTGGATAACTTTATATAATAATTTCTTATAATTTTAGTTTTCTTGAGATTTAGCATTTCAAAAGCTAAATAAAATGAGACATCTACTCAATCTATGAAGAGTCATTATTTTATTAAGTCAGTTTCTGAGATTAATTCAGCAATATCTAATTTACCCAAGGGACAAAGAAATTAAACTAAGCTGCCACATCCAATAAAATATGAGACAAGTATTACTTTTAAGTTTTTGTTGATAAAGAATGAATTAGCCCTTTATACCCCACTAACACATTATAGCACACTGTCTTCCTTTAATAGGTTGCAAAACTGTAGAAAAATACACGCCATTTTATTTAACTCAAGGTTCATGCTTTTAAAAGTAGCAGTAAGGACTGAAATACCATTCATTACAAGATCTCTAATCAAAGGTCTCTGGAAAGTCTGTGGGAACTTTATCATGCACTCTGTTAACAAGTTTTATTTTTTTAAAGAGGAGAATTATTTGCAGCAATGTCAGTTCTGTACAAATGAGAACCAACACTGGGGCAAATAAGCCTTGCCTTAATACTAATTGGTTAATAAGGGTTTATATTTAAGAAGGATAAATACTGAGTTGTATCACTTTTATTTGAACTCAGAGAGATAACAGATTGAATAAATAATTACTTATTCCAAGAAAGAGATCATTCAAACTTTAATTATCCACATGAAGCATTAAAAAGATAAAAATCATTTCTTTTTGGGCTGGCTTCTTTTTTGAAGGGATAGAGAAAGACTTGGTAGTCTTCCTCTTAGATTATAAGCAAGTTCAAGTTATTTATTTATTTATTTATTTTTAATGAAAGAAATATTTCATTTTTTTTCCAAATCCTCTTTATGGGTTGGCTCTAACTTATAGTAAAGATAGTGCATCCAGATTTACACAAAATTTTATGACACACTTCTACAAACAATCAAACGTTTACAAACTTTAAAAATTCGCTTTGTGGCACTTTGGTAAATTTGTTTAATAGTGACTTAAGTTAAATCTAAGGTAATAAAACTATGTGATTGTTGGGAGAATACAGGAATTGGTCTTAAAATCATATCATGACCCTGTTTAGGAATTTCTCTTAGTGACCACCGGGATTTTCTTTTACAGGTCACCATATAAAGTAAATAGTTTCCAAGTATGTGACAGATAAATTCTGCTCACATTGGTCTCCCAATGTGGCCTATTTCCTTGAATCATAGATAAACAGCAGGCAATAAGTCTGTTGGATTTTGTTTTTCCTAAAAGCAGGTAGAGAATTCAGATGTATTTGCTCTTCTCTCCCTTTATTCTTCCTATACTTGGAAGGGAAAACAATGAGGTTTATCTTTTCCATCTTCTTCCAAGTAGTTTGGGGTCTTTTCCCAGCTCTCTTTGAGTCCTCTAAGCTGGGTAGGGGCACCGAAGAGGAAGTAAGAGGAAAGTCAGAAAGATACACATATGATTTTATTTTAGTAAACTTTTACATTCTGACTTTAGAAGTAGTCTTCAAAAGGTTACCACTAAATCACAGACCTCGCAAAACTGCAATGTATTAATTTTATCCTCAGTTTCAATTCTTTAACCTACAAGGAATCAAAATGAAATCAAAATTTCAAAACAAATGATTACAGTGAAGTTTAAGACTTATAACAACTGAGAATTAAGAATTTAAGTTGATCTATTTTTTAATGAGCTAATGTTAAAAAGAAGTAGAAATTCTATTAACCTCTGGACTCTAGAGTTTAAAAAAATATTGATTATGACTCTTCCTACAGAATCAAGATTACCTCCTAAATGTTATTCACTATAAAAAGAAAATTATGAAAGTCGAAAAGCAGCTTGATTGTCAGTAGTATCACTTTCCATCTTCTTTAACTCATGTGCATGTTCAAAGACATGTAGTAGAAGAAAAGGAATCACTCTATTTCTAAATCTGTAATAAATTCTCTGTGAAAACATTTAAAGAATCTACATGATTTCACATTTAAATTTAGAGTTCTATTAATAACCAACAAATTAAGGTGTTTTCTGTAACTCACTGATCTGTGTACTTACAGCAATTTATAGAGAAATTTAGCAGAACTCTAAAGGCTGTCTGTCATCAGTTACTTTTGAACATTAACTTGTTCACATGCCTGAAGCTGTTACACCAAATATTTAAAAATTAGAGCTGTGCTGGATGAAAAATGACCCACAAAAAGAACTTGAGAAACAGAGAATGATAAGGGGAAGGGGAGCAAGAGGAGAGAGATTTTCTATCTTTGAGACAATTTTGCAGCCTAAAATTTCAGAAAGCAATGGGAAAATAGAATCAATTGTTCTGCTTAATTGCTTTCTCTACTTGCATATGAATCAACAGCATCAAGTCTACAATTCAGCTACTACTAACGTTATATCCTCAGTAGTTATCATTTGCAGAAAGGATTCAATTTTACCTAAAGGGAAAAATGAAAACAAAAAACCTAACTGGAAAAAAAGAGTAGGGCCTGTTCTTTTACACCTTTGAGTTAACAATGAATGAAAACAAATAGAACTAAATCTAATGAAGGCACTATAGTAAACAGCAATCCACACTTTACACACACCCCTACTCTACCCCACCCCCGCTTCAAGAAAGATTCCCACAAGGAATTGAGAATTATGCTATGGCCCTTTAGAAAAAGTAAACTAAGAAATCTTAACATTAAGAAGGGAACTAAGGGGCTAGGGATATGGCTCAGTGGTAGAGCACTTGCCTGGCATGCGTGAGGCCCTGGGTTTGATCCCAAGCACCACAAAAAAGGGGAGAGGGACTGAATTATGATCTATACACATGTACATAACAAACTACTTGTCAGCAGTACCATGAAGTAAAATCTCCTAAAAAGTACTAGTCTTTGAAAAAAACCCACTTAACTACCATAAAGTTTAAATAGTCAAAATATTTACTTAAACCAGTGGTTCTTAAACCAGAATGCACATCAGAACAGCCTGGCACTGGTTGAAAAACACAATGCTGGGCTACTCCCCCAGCGTTTCTGACTCACTGGGTCTGGAGTGGGGCTGATAGTAAGCAATCCTAATAATTTCTCAGGTGATGCTAAAGTTGCAGTTCCTGGGACCACCCTCTGAGAATCACTGGCCTAAGTTACTAATGGTATATCAGCACAGCCCTAACCAAAATTTTGGTCAAGATGCATGTAAACCAATAAGGATAGAATAATGCTTAGAAAGAACGCTGATAAATTCATCCTTATTACATCAAAACATCAACATCTGCTTCATGGTCTTCCTCAGTCACTTTCAAGGACAGCACTTCTTCATTAAGGAAGAGCCCACTAAGCCTCTCCTTCCGGGCCTGCCTCTGCTCCTTCAGCTGCCTCTTGCGAAAGGCCTTCTGCTGTAACTTCCGCTGCTTAGATCGTTTCTGTCAAAGTAAAAAGCTCTAGATCAGTAAGGTTTACTTCTTGGAATATCCACCCCAAAGTGTTTTTTATAGCTCAATATTCTCCTTTCCCAATTTTAAGAGATGTTCAAGATTCTCCTTTCATGGCATTTGACCAGCAACTCTTCCGACTAGGAAGGGCTGATACTTGATCATTTGGGCTAGCTATGGATAACCAGACACTTATCAAGGCACATTGGTATCAATGCATAGTGAAAAAAAAATTAATACTAGGGGACAAAATGAATATAGAATGTAGAGAACTTTTCATAAATCTCTACCACTTATGCTTTTAAGGAGGCTTGAACCCAAAAGCACTAGCAATTTTTATAATGGCTGGGAAAGAATCATGCCTTTTTATATTAGCCAAATATCATCTTAAAAGCCCATTAGAACCCCAGTGAATAATCCAATCTTCAATACCAGGGAACTAATGCCAAAAAGGAATGGCCACATATCAAGAGAAATCCTCTGGCAACCAACAAAGCTGGCTATGTTTCTGCTACTTCGTTAAGAACCAGGAAAGAAATCATTGTGTATCTTTAAGTCACCACTGAGTTCTCAAAGAGTTAAAGAGATTCTCTTTTCATCTTTAAATTGGTTCCAGACTGTATCACTGCAAGGAACCAAATGTTCCTGTTAAGCCTCAGAACCATTCCATATACACTTACACTTTCTGTTTTTAAAAGTACCCAATATTATTATAAAGGATTTCTATAGACAGAAATTACAGAAAGCATTATTGTCTAAATTATCTAAGAAGGAATATTCAAGGTTAAAACATCAAGAAAACATTTAACACACACAAAAGACGTATATACAACATTTTTAGGAGCTAATAGACAGCAACATCAGCAACATAGTGAGATTCGCTCAGTAATGAGTTGCAGTCAATATTGCAATCTTGAGAATTACTCATTATTTCCATTAATATCTTACTTAAGACAGACACAAAAATCAAATAAAATTGAATGTGAATGATTGTGGGTCAAAAAAGAGTACTTCAAAGCACTCAGCCTAGAGTGCTCTCTTTGACAGCAGAGCATCCTGCTTGTTCAATTAAAACCCAAACCCACAGGCATCTAGATAGACAATTTTCACTGTTCAAGAAATTTAAATGAAGAAGGACTAATATTAATATTGAAAGGTAAAGTTTTGTATTGATTAGACATTTTACTTTTGAATCCCGAATCCGCTCTGCTGCACTTGCAGACAGGTTGCTGTCACTGTGTGCTCGACTCATGTTGGCACTGGAGTTTGAAGCAGAGTTTCCAACACTGGACCCACTGCTGCTTGCAGAACTGACCATGCTGGCACTGCTGCTGCTGGCACTGGCACTGGCACCGCTCACTCCACTAGTGCTTGCACAACTAAAGTTGCTTCTCTTCCAGGCCTCTCTGGCAGGCCGCTGGCGAGGACTATGCTCCTTGATATAGTTTCTGACCTTGGGACACGAGGATGAAAAACAGCTTAGTGTTATACCTTGATATTTGACTGTCAAGATACTGGAGGGGGAAAAAAATCACATTGTCCTTAATAAAAAAAAAAAAAACTGTCAAAAGTGCTACAAATGTATAAATAAAGTAGAATGGAAGGGCAACAGAAATCTTTAAATTTAAAACAATTACCCAAAAAATTGACTATTTGAAATGCTAGAAAACATATTATGGATACAGACTTTCAAAGCATAAAAGTATAATCAGTGAATGAAAGGCTAATAGAAATCAAAACAAAGATGTGATTAATCATTTGTAAAATCTCCACTTAAGATGACTTAAGTAAATTAACAATTGTATTTATGATCAGGGTATTTGTTCCTATACTTTAGTGAGGGGTCAATGGTACCTGTCTTCAAATGCAAGGCAGCAATTTAGCATAATAAATAAAAAGGGCTGGAATGTAGAAAATTATATTCTATGTCTATTGAGAGAAAAATCAAAATGTGAGAAATTTTTCACAGATGATAAATGCAAAATAAACCAAAAGGAGAACATAAAAATATTAAGTATTCATTTAGCCATCTACTAGAGAAAAAGGGAGCAGCAAAGACTATAATTAGAATATACCAGAAATATAAGTTTCAGAACAGCAGAGGGAATAGTCATTAGATTTCACCCCAGTCAATTACTCCATAAGACTACTCAAAGCCCTCAGCTAATATATTTACTAAAGTATTGAGCTTGTTAATTAGTACGCTTATTCTGTCAATTCATCTTTTGTAAATTGAGTTAGAATAAATCTATACCTTAGCTTAACCACACCTTATATAATAAAACTAAGTTTCAAAGCCTTTATAACTGAACAGCAGGTTCTAGATCCATGTTGACCAGAAAAGGTACTACCAGGTAAGAAGTACATAAAACCTTTTAAAAGCACATGTTCTCCAATATTACCATTATTTTTTTTTTCCATTTTCTTCTTCTTTTCTTTGTGGTGCTAGGAAATGAACCTAGATCCTTGCATATGCTAGGCAAGCAAATGCTCTACCTCTGAGCTATATCCCCAGTCCCATCATTTTTTTAAACACCTTTGTTTATTTATTTATTTTTATGTGGCGCTGACCATGGAACCCAGTGCCTCACACGTGCTAGGCAAGTGCTCTACTACTGAGCTACAACCCTAGCACCCCCATCATCATTTTTTTTAAAATATTACAAATCACAACAGTGATTTCTCAATGTATATATGCATGATTATTCATTTCTACATTTTATAAGATGGTGGCATTTTCAATAGGAAAACAAACTGTATTAACATACCTGCTTCAGTTTTTCATCTGTGAGACAGTTAAGTTCAATGATAAACTCACTGTCTGTAGGGGAGATTTGAGCAGAAGGATCAATGATTTTAATAATATCAAGTTGTTCCCGAAGGCCCATCTCAGTACTGACTTTTCGGCTCAGATATTCAATATATTCCACCTATATGATGAAAAATTACAACACACAATATCAATGCTAAAACCTTTGGTCCTTCAATATACCAATTATAACGTATCTTATGTATCAGAAACACTTAACATTATATTTGGTTCCCGAAAAACAATTAAAGCTCAAATTCAGACTTACTAAGCAATCCATATTTACCAAGTGGCTTTAAATAGGAAATAAAATGGGCTTCACATATTCTCCACATATGCTTTCAGTTAAGCATGTCAACATTTTTACCTGTTCATCATTTGTCATTGCACTCCAAGGAAGTTCATCTAAATTTCGGTGCTTGTTTTTCTTTTTAGGAAGCAGGCAAGGTGAACTTGGAATACTGGGTATGACATCAGAAAGTACATCACTTCCACTGGCAATGTCACTGCCTGGTAACTTTATAAAAATAAGGAAGGTAGGAGATAGGGAAAGCAAGATTTTTAAAAACACATTTTGAATATCACAACAAATTGCATTCATTGATTAAAAGTTACTTTAACATAAAACTAATGGTAAATATACCAATCACAGAACATAAATTCAGATGTACACCTAATTTATACATGGCAGCATAATCAATATTCTTTTTACATATATATATATATATGTATATATATTCACTTATTCAATAAAATATGTTTTCTGAAAGTTTAAAATCATAATCAAAACTTGTTAAAGTGCTAACTTAAGAGACAATCATCATTAAGGAGCCGGGCGCAGTGATGTACATCTGTAATCCCAGTGACTCGGGAGGCTGAGGCAGGAGGATCTAAAGTTCAAAGTAAGCCTCAGCAACTTGGCAAGGCCTGAAGCAACTCAGTGAGATCCTGTCTCAAAATAAAAAATTAAAAACGGCTGGGGATGTGGTTCAGTGGTTAAATGTCCCTGGGTTCAATCCCTGGTATCCCTCCAAATCATTAAAGATTTTTAATTTAGAGTGCCATTGTTACTAGGGCCCAAACAGCAATAAATAAGTAGTACTGGTCTGAATATTGGGAGATCTGAGTGAGCTGTCACTCATTGGCTTTTTGCCAGACGTTTCTAGTCATATTGCCAACAAAAAGACAAATAAACCATGGTTCTTGTCCTTAAGTCCATGTTAACAATCTCAAGAAAATTTTAAAAATTCAAAATATGTATTGCCCTAAAGCAAGAAATTTTAAAGACCAGAAGTACTAAAGAAAATAGAAAACAAAGTGTAGACAAAAGAGAAGTAAAAGCAAGCCTAACACATAGCAAATCAAAACAGCTTAAGGTGAGACAAACAGCAAAAATAATTTTATACTGCCTGTTAAAAAAGAGAGGGGATTTAATCTTTATAGCTTTATTAATGTACACTTAAAACCAAAACTGTACATATTAAATGTATACAATTCAATGCATTTGAAAACATACACATACCCAAGAAACCATCACCACAATCAAAAGTGATAAGCATATCCCTCACCTCTAAAAGTGAGAATAGATTTAAATAAATGTATTTAACATATATGTCAAAAAGAGAAAGCAGGGGCTGGGGTTGTGGCTCAATGGTAGAGTGCTTGCCTAGCACGTGCAAGGCCCTGGGTTTGATCCTCAGCACCACATAATAAATAAGATATTGTGTCCAACTATAACTAAAACATAAATATTTTTTTAAAAGAGGAATCATTTTCTGCTGAAGTAGCATGTAACAATTTTCAAAGATATTGTTTTCATGTTTTCAAGGTACAAAACAGCACCTTTTTGTTGTTCTATAGTGTTTGCAACTAAACCTGAACTGAGTGCTTTCCAGATTTTTGAAGTTACCAAGAGAAGAGCTTCTTCAAACTATCACAATCATGTATTTGAACTCCTATTATACACACAATATAACAAGCACAGGAGATTCAAAGGAGTGTAAGTTTTGGTCCTTACACAAAAATGTTATACTCCAGTTGGGAAGATAATAACACCCAAATATAACAGAGTACAGGATGAATGCTAGGCCTGAGATGATAGGTCATTCATAGAAATACTTAGCAGTGAGTTGAAACTCCAGGATTGAAGTTTGGGAGACCTGTGAGGGTTTTAAAGGTGGGAATTGGGAAGTCAATTATATAGAAGAGATTGGGGAAGGCCACAAAAATGGGATCAATCACTATAATTATGATATTTAGAATGAAACTGTTAGGGACCATTTTTTCTACATCTCCATAAGCAACTACTAATCCTACAAACCATATTTTCACTATGACAGTCATTGATGAATCCAATACTAGTGTATAAGTAACTTCTAACAATTTGTAGGACTTGTAAAAATCTCGTTAACACTGCTTGAATCGTTTGCCCTTATCCCTAATGTTATCAAGCCAGTGCTATAAAAGGATGATTGCTGAATACACACACGAAGGTCATCTCTTTTACAAGCTTTATTGGCAAAAATAAAAAAGCTCTGCTATTTTTTCATTGATTTCAAAACTTCAAATCACAACATTACATTCGAGATGTCCCTAGAGTCTCCAAACACAATGAGACTCTCCTTATCAAATGAAAGGTCTCCTGTATTTCAAGTTCCTTCAACAAAGAAGGTAGAAAAAAAGAAACACTCAAAATAGGTATACTTGGGCTGAGGTTGTGGCTCAGTGGTAGAGTGCTTGCCTAGCATGTATGAGGCACTGGATTTGATCCTCAGCACCACATAAAAATAAATAAATAAAATAAAGATACTCTGATCATCTACAACTAAAAAAATTATTTTAAAATACCTATACTTTCAAAATCAAGAAATTTTCTTTAGTCTAAGTTTTCAGAGAATATGTCCTAGGCGCGAGACTATATGAAATGTGGTTAATGCCACTGATTTCAAAGGATTATTGACAGAGCTTTAAATTAGATAACATGCCTGACACATAGATGATACTCAAAAAAGAGATGTATTTTTAAAAACTTCTTCCATCTCTGGCCATGGTTTAAGATAGCATAAATATTCAGGGAATACTATATGTTGCTAAAGTGACTAGGTTGAGTTTCACAAGGAGGTATTTCAGAATGACAGAAGGGGAAAAGGAAATGGCATTTCAGGTAAAGTGAATAACTTAGTGAAATCACAGATGAAAATATAAAAAAGCAAGTTGAAAAACAATACAATTAAAACAAAATCAATGTTAGGGATTTGAAAGCTCAAAAGAAGAACCAGAAGATGTCCAATGACATATAGAAGTTGGCCCATAGCATCATGTGATGAAAGCAGTCACCAGGGAAAATTAGTTAAAAAGTACTATGGGGACAAAACAGTGAGAAAAGTTTGGAATTAGGATGCTCTTGTTATGATTAAGGCCTGGACTAAAGCAAAAATAGAAAGAAAAAAGGGAATAAATAGGAAACATTTTTTTTTTTAATGAAAAACAATTTACAAAGCTGTTTGATAACTGATGCAAGAATAAGGAGTCAGATGTTGAGACTAGAAGAAAACTGGTAATATTTCAAGGTCATATGAACACCCATGGTGATATTCTCAAAGACTTGAATAGTTACAGGAAGAGACCTGAAGCAATCTTACAGATCTTGTAGTCCAACACCCTCTTAAAAATAAGGAAAAATGACATCCAGAGAGAGGCATACAACTAGTGGCAGAATTCGAAGTTGACACAAGTCCAGTGCTTTCAACTGTGCCAGACAGCCTTGCCTTGGATGCAATTTGGAATGAGAGAACACGATTTGGGATATTGAGAGTCTGTGGTGATAATGGGAAAAACACAAATGTCCTTTGAACAGACAATAGCCATTTTTCACTATGCTATAAAGACATATCACAAAGCAGAATTTATTTTTTCCTATGGAAACACTATACTTGGAAGTGGCAGCACTGACCAAGGATTCAGCATCAGATAACAGGTTAGTATTAAATAATAATAAGGTCATCCAAGTGGAAATGTCATGTGCTCAATTGGACATATGGGATTAGAGAAGCAGTTGTACAGCAGAATTAATTGCATGGGCTTCTGTATATTTACTAGACCAGCAATGTTCCATTTCATAACTGATAATATATTTCAGAATAAAAATGTTTAATGAGTCCTATCCTATATTTTTCAGCGATAATATCTGGTATATTTATATTATAATCAGTAATTGTGACACATAAAGAGAATTAAATCAAAGCTCTGCCATATTTTCTGCAGGATGCAGCAGAATTTTATGAGTAAGCTCATTTCTGTAACAGCTGATGTGTAATTTCAGATTGCACCTCTAGGTTTCAATTGTGACAGCTGAATTACTCCGTAAATTTTCTAAGCTCTCCTGCCCAACAATAGAAATAATTTCTCAAGCTCTAAGACTAGTCAAATATATCTTCAATAATGAAAGGACTGCAAGCAATGCAAATGATCAGTAAGCAAAATGCACTGATGCTACCTCAAATGCTAAGATCTGCTTTATTCTAAGGTTCAAATCTTGCTTTATCAAGAAGTTAGCACTTCTCTTCCTAGAGAATCTATGAATCATTTATTTTTTATTTATTTTTATTTTAGTAGCAACTGAAATATCTAATGTTAAAAGAAAGATTTAAACACATATGCTTTTTAATCACAACAGAGGTAATATGAATTTTTAAACTATAGTAAATGATTTTTACTTTATATTATTCCTAACATATAATTTGTAATTATCCTCTTGGACAATTTACTGCTCATCATTATGAGGCCCCACAAAAATAAGACAGCATTTTAAACCTTTCAGCATATTTAAATAGTAAATATCCATGGTAACAGAGTACCCATACTCCAATTTCAGAAGTGGGAAAACACATTACTAAAGCAGACCTGATTTTGTTCCAACATTGTAGCCACTAACGTACATTAACTGTGAGTAGTTGTGGATGGATTTCCACTCTAATCACTCATGAAATGAGTTAAGAAGCCAGCAATTAAAAATTTTAAAAGCCTGCCACATTGTGATATTATAGATGATAAGAATTCTAAATAAATCATATGAACTAAGCAGAAAATATATTTCCCATAATCATCAGGGCTCTATCTGATTATACTTTATTAAGAATCCTTGAAGTATGATTTTTAAATACAATTTACACACTTAAAAATGAGATTCTAAAGAATAAAAAAGACACACATAAAAATTATCACTGTGGTGTTATCTGTAACAAAAAAAATTGAAACAGAAGTAAACAAAACATTTTCACAAGTTCTGGCACATCTAACAGCAGGAATATCATGTAGTCATTACAAAACGTATTATGAAGAACATGGAAAAGTTCATATGTTAAATAAGAAAATATTACAAAATTTTATCAAGAAGAAAGAACATTTCCTAACTCCTTCTATGAGGCCAGTGTTACCTGATACCAAAGAAAAACAAAGATAAAAGAAAACCAGAGACCAATATCCCTTATGAGTACACATGCAAAATTCCTTTGAAAAAATACTATACAACTGTGTCCAGGGGCTGGAGTTAAGGCTCAGTAGTAGAGAGCCTGCCTAGCACATATGAGGCACTGGGTTTGATTCTCAGCACCACATAAAAATAAATAAATAAAACAAAGGTATATGTCTATCAACAACTAAAAAAAAAAAAAAACTATCCAGAAGCACATTAAAAGGACTATACACCGGATTGGGGATGTGGCTCAAGTGGTAGTGCGCTCGCCTGGCATGCTCGGGACGCTGGGTTCCATCCTCAGCACCACATAAAAATAAAAAAAAAAAAGATGTTGTGTCCACCGAAACTAAAAAATAAATATTAAAAAATTCTCTCTCTCTCTCTCTCTCTAAAAAAAAAAAAAAAAAGGACTATACACCATAACCAATTAGGATTTATTCCAGGAAAGTAAGGGTAGTTAAACATGAAAATCAACCAATGTAACACTACCAATTCTATTAATAGAATTCCAATCAATTCTATTAATAGAATGAAGAAGGAACATATATCATCTAAACTGATGTAGAAATAACATTTGATGAAATTCTATACTCTTTCATGAAAAAAACATTGTACCAATTGGAACAAAAGATAAATTCCTCAGTATGATATAGGGTGCTTATGGCAAAAAATAAATAAATAAATTTCTCCCCTGAGATGAGAAAAAAACACAAGATCCTCCCACTCTCATCAATTCTATTCAACACTGTATGATCCAGCCAGGGCAATTAAACAAGAAATAAAAGATATCCAGATTGGAAAAAAAAGGAAGGAAAAACTATCTCTATTCACAGATGACACAATGTTAAATGTAGAAAAACCTGGAGAATCTATACAGGGAAAAAACTATTAATGCTAACAAATAAGTTCAGCAAAGTTGCAGGATACAAAATCAGCATACAGAAATTAATTAGACATCTTTAAACATATATACACTTGCAATGAACAATCTAAAAATGAAATTAAGAAAATGGTACCATTTATAATAATGGCACAAAGAATAAAGTATTTAGGAATACATTCAACCAAGGAAGTATAAGAGTTGGGCACTGAAAACTCTAAAACATCACTGAAAGAAATTAAAGGAGATGTAAATAAAGACATTCCATCTCATTTCTTGGATTGGAATATTTAATACTGTTAAGATGTCAATACTCCCCAAACTGATGTATGGATTCAATGCAATCTCTCTCAATTCCAACTGCCCTTTGTAGAAATGGATAACCTCGTCCTAAAATTCATATAGAATTGAGAGGGACCTCCAAAAGCAAACCAATCTTTATAAAGAAAAATAAAGTGAGAAAACTCCCACTTTCCATTTTGAAAGCTTACTACAAAACTGTAATTTAAACAATGCTGTACTGGCATAAGGACAGACACACATATTAATGGAAAATAATTGAGAGTCCAAAGATAACCCTATTTTGGACAGGGTGCCAAGACTGTTTAATGAGGAAAAAATAGTCTTTTCAACAAATGGTGCTGGAACAACTGGAAATGCACATGCAAAGTAATGAATTTGGACCCTTATTTCATACTGGAAAGAAAAAGTAATTCAAGATGGATCAAAGACCAACTTAGTATAAGAACTAAAACTCAGAGGAAAACAGGTGAAAATCTTAATGATAATGGATTAGTCTACAAATAAATTAGACTTCAAAATTCAAAATGTTTACATAAGATACTATGAAGTGAATAGAAACTATCAAGTGAAAAGAAAACCCACAAAACAGGACAAAAATTTCTAAATTATATACCTGATAAAAGTTTAGTAGCAAAAGAACTCTTAGAACTAAAAGATAACACAATTTAAAAAACAGGTAAAGGACTTAAATAGAACAACATCAAAGATGATGTACAAACAGCCAATAAGCACAGGAGAAGTTGTTCAACACAATTAGTCACTAGAAAAATATAAACAAAAATCACAAGAACATAACCACTTCACACCCAGTAAGACACTATAATCAAAAGAAAGAATACCAAGTGTAGGCAAGAATGTGGAGAAAGTGAAACTTTCATACACTGCTGATGGAAATGTAAAATGAGGCAGCTACTCTGGAAAACATTGTTGGCAGTTCCTCAAAATGTTAAAGAGTTATCATATAAAGTCTTAATAATGGTGACTATTGTGGAGTGAGACTTTGAGACTTTTAACTTCATGTCATTCTGTATTATTTGATATTTTAAGAATTTTCTGAAATAAAATATCTGATTCCTGTTTTGGAATATCACTTCAAGTATTCAGTTTTCAAATATAGTAAGCATTCAAGCTTATTTGTGGAATAAAACATTTGCTATACGCAAGAAGAGCTCTTGGAATGTTATTGCCTTTTATAATCAGAAAAAAGGATGTAGGGAAAACGTCATCTATATTTTCTGATAGACTGTACTCATTATAAGGCAGCATTTTCAAACAATTTGCCACAAAACCATTTTGTATGGTATACATGCCATGAGAAAAGTGTCAGGTGAAAAAAAATGTCTACAAAGAGAATACAAAATGAGAAATTATATTCCATTTCTGATAACAAAACCAAAAATTATGTATTTATGGTAATAATGGTTTATGGCATTAGATACATAAGGTGACACTGATGTGTGTCCTATGAGGACATAAGGCTATCTATTACAAAGCAGGGAGAATAAATGTGCCTGGATTCATGCATAGAAAAGTACTGATTATTTTGTAAACAAAAACCTACAAAAGGGGCTGGGGCTGTAGCTTAGTGACAGAGTGCTTGCCTAGCATGCGTGAGGCACTGGGTTTGATCCTCAGCACCACATAAAAACAAACAAATAAAATAAAGGCATTCTGTCCATCTATAACTATAAAATTTTTAAAAAACCTACAAAAGGATTATCTATAGCATCATAAGGCTAAAGGATATATTTGCAAAAATAAAAAATACATATTTCATTGAATTCTCAACATTAAAATGTGTTGTCAAAGAATCCCCAGATCTGGAGATTGTAGAAAAACTTACTTTGAGGTAGAAATGAAAAAAAAAGAAAAAGGAAAAATTATACTTGTATTTATATAGTAATAATGTCAATTAAAGAAAAAACAAAGCTGGGCATGGTGGCACACACCTGTAATTCCAGTGGTTCAGGAGGCTGAGATAGGGGGATTGCAAGTACAAAGCCAGCAACTTAAGAAAGACCCTGTCTCAAAATAAAATATTAAAAACCAAAAGTGCTGGGGATGTGGCTCAGTGGCTAAGTGCCCCTGGGTTCAATCCCCAGTAAGGGGGCAGGGAGATGACCAAATACCTACCTGCCATTCAAATTCACTATCTGACCAATCCCAGTAAGTACTAATAGAAGAAGACACATCACTGCAGACACTCCCCTCAGGGAACAAATCAAAAGAAGTGAAGTCTTGATCATCTAACAGGGAATAGCAATCATCTTGATCTCCAACAGAAACTGATGAAAATAGCTCCTCACTGCATTCTGAGCTGGCAACACTTGTTCCACACGAAGTTAGGTTCCACCTTTAAAAACATAACATAAAAGAAATCATGACAGGGACTACAGTCCACACACTTTGAAGTTATTAATAGGAAACATTTATGAGGAATGTATTTTTAGGTAATAGTGTGATTATTTTTAAAAAGCATTTACATTTTAAGAAAATATACTAAAATATTTATGAGTAAAATATGTCTGGGATTTGCCTCAAAATAATAAGAAAGGAGTTAGGGAATAGGTTAGAAATATAGATAAAGCATGATGCCATATGTGAATAATTGAAGCTGGGTGATGTGTACAAAGGGTTCAGTATACTATTTTCTTTTATAGTTGTCTGAAAAACTTTATAATAAAACATTTTAAAACAAAAATATATTTAAATTAGGAATGAAGTAGAACCTTCTTCCAAAACAAAATATATAACACAGTGGGTATGACTAAGCCTTGGAGTCAGAATGAGTACAAATTCTTGCTCTGTCATCATCTGCTAGCTCTTTGATCTTAAGTAAATCACAACCTTTCCAAGCCTAAGTCCTCATCTTTAAAATGGAGTTATTGTGAGCAGTATATGAGAATGCATACAGAGAATTTAGCACACATCAAAAGTGCTTAATATATGACAGCTATTATTACTAAATTAAAGGACGAGGACAGCCAGGTCGTGGCAGAGAAAATCACCAACAAAGTACACAGGAAGAAGTTTAAGAAGTGGTTGTTATATTTAAATAACTTTTATATATTAATGTTACACAGGATCACTGTAGGGATGCTGGAATAAAAAAAGAGTAAATATGTTTAAAAGGTCCTATAGTTCCACTATCCAGCAACAGCTAGCCTATAAAATTTTGTAACTTTTTTCTAGATGCATATATATATTTTTTACAGAATTGGCAATCAGCCTATGTATACATATATGTGTGTTAGTATCTTGTGTACACTGAATATTATATACTGAACATTTTTCTAAGCACAAGTTGAATATCCCTTATTTAAAACATTTAAAACAAAATGGGGACCAGAATTGTTTCAATCATTTTTAAAATTTTGAATTATTTGCATATACATAATGATATGTATTGGGGATGAGACCTGAGTATAAAAATGAAATACATTTGTTTCATATACACTGTAAACACATATCCTGAAAGTAATTTTATACAATATTTTTAGTGCACCTATTTTTTTTGTCTTGAGGTACTAGGCACTGAGCTATATCCACACCCTCTTTTACTTTTTATTTTGAGACAGGGTTTCACTAAATTGTTAAGGCTGGCCTCAAACTTGCAATCTTCCTGCCTCAGGCACTGGATAGGTGAGATTAGAGGCATGTGTCACCACATGCAGGCAGTGCACCTGTATTTTGACTGCATTCCATCACGTGAGGTCACAGTGGAACTTTCCACTTGCTATGTCGAGTTGCCATTCAGGAAGTTTCAGATTTTGAATTTTTACATTAGGTATACTCAACCTGCATATTATTTGAAACTATTTTAATATCAATATAATATTATATTGATTGAAATGAATCATAACTTATTTACCTTATTTCCCCAATAACAGATGTGTAGACTGCTCTCTGTATTTATATATTACACATAACACAGAGATGAGCTTTTTGTTTATAATTATTTATCCAAACATCAATATTCCCAGGATAGACTGCTTGAAAGGTAAGTACTGAGTCAAAGAATATAAACACTCCTAAGGGCCACAGTACATTTAGTCAAATACCTTTTTGAAAGGCTGCATCAATTCATATTCCCCAAGGCAACATATAAATATGTTAATTTGGGGCTGGGGATATAGGACAGTGGTAAAGTACTAGTCTAGCAAGTGGAAGGCCCTGGGTTCAAGCCACAGTACCACACACACACACAAAAAAAAAAAAAAAAAATCAAAACTGAAATAAGGTTCATCTCACCATAACCATAACAGCATAGAAATTTTCATTTAAGAAAACTTTTACCTATCTCCTGGGACAGAAATATTTTATTCACATTTTTATTTGATTATCAGGATGATCAAAACTTTAAATATGTATTAGCTATTTTTCTAATGGTGTTTTTCTATGTGTTAAATGTTTTCATTTATTGACTTCATGAATTCTTCATGCATTAAGAATATTAAGATTTTTTTTCATGTACTATTTGTTAAAGGGATTTTGGGGTTTGCTTTTTTGTTGTCTTAAAAATCTATGAAATTTACTGGGCATGATGATGCATGCCTATAATCCAAGGCTCGAGAAGCTGAGGGAGGAGGATTGCGGGTTCAAAGCCAGCCTCAGCAACCTAGCAAGATCCTAAGCAAGCGATACCCTGTCTCTAAATAAAAAATATATAGGGGGCTGGGGTTGTGGCTCAGTGGTAGCATGCTTGCCTGGCATGGGTGAGGCACTGGGTGGGTTTAATCCTCAGCACCACATAAAAGTAAATAAATAAAGGTACTGAATCCATCTACAACTAAAAAACAAAGTTTAAATACACACACACACACACACACACACACACATATATATATATATATATATATATATATATATATATATATATATATCTCGGGAAGTGGCTCAGTGGTTAAGTGCCCCTGGGCTCATTCCTGTTACCACTCCCCCCCCCAAAAAAAAAAACGGTATAAAATTTGTTTTCTTTTGTGAATTTCCACTAGTTTCATACCATTAATGAGATAATGAGATCTTTTTCATTGCTTTGCTGGTAGAATAGGGAATTAATCCTGAAGATAATGATTTAAGATTTCCAATACTAATAAGCTACTGAACTAATGGCTTCCTGAAGAAAAGCCTATTATTTATCTATTATTAGGTTGTTCCTCATCCTTCATTAAATCCAGATTTTTTGAATTATAAAATTTTGTAACTTCCTTCTCTGCCTTTTTTGAAGTGGGAATTGAATTCAGGTGCACTTTATCACTGAGCTACAGCCCCAACCTTTTATTTTTAATTTTGAGACAGGGTCTTGGTAAATTGCTGAGGCTGACCTCGAATTTGAGATCCTACTGCCTCAGCCTCTGGAATCTCTGGGATTACAGGATATGACACCACCCGAAGCCTTTCCTTATTTTTCATAGCTAACATTAAATTCAGAAGTTCATGATTTACCAAATTTGGAAAACTCAAAAAAATGTATGGTGTCTATTTCTGCTGGGCTGACAGTAGAGTTGAAATGTGCAGGAGCCTGTATAGACACACTCAACTATTACAGTTCAATAAATAAAAAGCACATGTTGATAATTTGTTACAAATCTATCATTCATCTAAGAATTATAGAATACTATGTAATATTACTTAGTTTCATTGTATCCTTGTTGTGTGGGCAGTATCCTCATTTAAAATAATTAACAAACTAGTAGATCTAACCAAATTGCTCAGAGCTTGCAATAAAAGCTCTAAACCTCAATCATAAGTTCTCTCCTAGACACAGTAAGCCAGTTACACTGAGCAAACTATTTTCTCTTCAAACTGCATGTCTTCAAATTGCACATTGACTTTCCCCCCTTTATTCATTCACCCATTCAACAAACATTTAGTCAGTATCTTCTGTGTGCCAAATACAATGTTCACTGTTAGGAAAAGCTGTTAGATAATTGTTTTTTAATTGGAATTTCTTTTCAGCTTGTAAAAATTCTGCTGAAATGTATTTCCCTCAATGAGTAATAACATACCTTTTTAAAAAGCTATGTCACATTTGATAATCTAACCATTAGTTTACTGGCAAGTTAGGGATTTGCTTGGTTTTGTGCCCTTACCATAGGGCAAAATTAGTATGTTTCTCAGCCTTTCAGATTTATGACTATGTAACAAGCTTCTAGATATTCTCAGAAGCCTTTGTCTTTTTTATTATCAGTGGCAAGTAAACTGGGCTTTTTACTTTACAAATCATTTACAAAATAGAAAAAAAAAGTATTTTTATTACTAATGATTTTTTAAAAATTCTTTATCTTCTAATTTATAATATTGTTTTATTATTATTTTAAAGCAGTGTGGATAAAAACATAGCAAGAAATGCTTTTATCCATTTCTGATATGAGTATAAATTGATATAATCCTTTTGAAAAGCAATTAGTAGTATATGCATACCAAAAGCATTAAAAAGGTTCATTCTTAGCAGGGTTCGGTGTCACACTCTTATAATCCAACCCACTTGAGAGACTGAGGCACAATGATTACAAGTTCAAGACCAGCCCCAGCAACTTAATGAGACCTTGTCTCAAAATAAAAAATAAAAAGGGCTGGGATGCAGCTCAATGGTAGAGTCCCATGCGCCCAATCCCAAGTGACACCCCTCCCCCGCACCAACGAAGGTCCATACCTTTGGACTCCATTAATTTATATTCTAGGAAATCTATTCCTTTCCCCAAATAGAAATTTAGAAAAAATATATTTACAAATATGTCAAAAATATCATTTATATTGGGCTGGGGATGTGGCTCAAGCGGTAGCGCGCTCGCCTTGCATGCTTGCGGCCCAGGTTCAATCCTCAGCACCACATACAAACAAAAATGTTGTGTCCGCCGAGAACTAAAAAAAATAAATATTAAAAATTCTCTCTCTCTCTCTCTCTCTCTCTCTCTCTCTCTAAAAAAATATCATTTATAATAGCAAAAATGGGAAAATAAATGACCTTAAAACCTGGGGAATAACTGTCATATCTCAATAATAGTATTTTTGTAATCATTTAAAAAATCACATTTTCAGATGATTTGTTGAAAAGGAAAGCATTCATCTATATTAGTGCAAATAAATCACAAATAGTATATGTGGCCTGATAGTGATTTTTAAAAATTACATAGGTTAAGCATCACTAATCTGAAAATCCAAAATTTGAACCTTTCCAAAATCCATTCAACTTTTTGAATGTTGACTTGACACAACAAGTGGAAAATTCCACTCTGACCTTGTGATGGGCTGCAGTCAAAATACAGGCACACTAAAAATAGTGTATAAAAGGTTCAGGCTATGTGTACAAGACACATGTGAAACAAATGAATTTTGTGTTTACTCTTAGGT